ATTAAGATTCAATTATTAATAAAATATTATATAATTAATTATTGTATCAATTATAATTACATATCAGGCGTAAGAGTTTTTTGTTATGATTTACAGTTTTCAATTTTAAATAGAAAGCTTTTACAAATATATTTTTTTTTATTCTACGTCTTTGACATTATTCTCAAAATAGAGCTTCTTATCTTTCGTTGCTGATACGCAGGTGAAACAGATAATTGCGGATATTCGCGACACGTGTCGAATGCAAACGTTCTGGGCAAATGACACAAACCGATTGAACGGTACGCGATGCAAACGTGTGGCGCAAACGTGCATTATGATGACGTGGGCGGTTTAGTTCGTACGTCATCCTATTCAACATCGTTTCCTCGTCATAAATAGATGAGCTTGATTAATCACCAGGGAGCAAGTCTAGGGCTAGTCTTATTACGCGCTTGAAAAATCGATATTTTTCTTGCAGTTGATATTTATATCTTGATCAGTTATTATATATATTCCTCGCGATTACGTGAGAGAAGCGATATATTCAACGCTACCATATAGAAAAGTCATTAAATGTTTAATGTCTTGCGCAATATTTAATATTAAGCATATAAATATATGACTGAGTATACGCGCGGTATCTCTCGAAAGTGTAGCTTTTTATTTTGCGGGATTGCATCGAAAACTTTTCTGTGATTTTACAATTAATTATCTAAACGCAGACTAATTTTTTTAAATCATATCCATTAATTAATCAATGTAAAATAAATAATTCAAGTACATTTCTATATTTATTTCTTATTGTTAATATTTAAGTGTTTTGCTCAAATTAAAAAAGATTTAATACCCAGAATTTCGATCAAAGTCAATGTAATAAAAATCTCAAAAGATCTGTAAATTACACAGAAGGCAAATTTCTGTATGACAAATGTACGATAATCTGAATGGATTAAAAATATATTGCATCGGAAGTCCGTGGGTGCTGTGGTAAACTACTCCCGGAAGTTGTATCTTATCACCAACCTTTTGTTTTCTACGCCTTAATTCACCGAAATCGTAATAATCACAGATTACGCTTATCGAGTTGTACGACCATGCTACGAGGAAAGAAAAAGAACACACATAGTCGTATCGCATTGTTCATTCAGACTTCTGATCAAATTAGATAAATGAAATTATATATTATGAACGTATTTTTGTCTGAATAAATTTTGTAGATATAAAAAGGAATTATTTATTGATATATATTTTATAAGCTATCTCACAAGATTTATGATCTCAGAGTTTGATCTCAAACATTATTTTTGTAAAAGAATATCTGAATGTTATATTTTTTTAAATTTAATCCAAAATTTAATTTTCAAAGAATTTAATTTAATTTAAAAATTATAATAAAAATATTATGTTCTTCCAAAAAAAACTTATCATTTGATCTTTTATGAAAATTGCAGTCAAAAATTTTGAAAAATTGAGTTAATTCGAATTTTATATAAATCATATCTATTTTATTGCAATTGCATTCTGATTTGCAGTTTGCAAAAATTTGCTCTAAAGAAATATGATTTCGGAAAGTGCTATTTTCTATAAAAAATTTAATAATATTATGTACATATTTATAAATTATATATTAGATCCATAAATTTTCTATAAAAATATGCCGATAAATAAACAGAGACCATGTTTGTATATTATACCTACAGCACAAAATTACAAAGTCAATTTATGAAGGAGGAAATGTGGACATGAGATACATGCTTTTTGATGCGCAAAAAATGCAATGAAATTTTATGACTTCATTATACTTGTATCTTGAACCTGAAATGTATTTTTCATCGGGGAATGGAAATACGCGGTATTTGTAACGCTGTTACTTTTTATCGTCACATTCTTATAATAATAATTTGGTAACATCAGAGTTGGAAAAGTCAAACATTACTTGTAACGGATTGGAAAAGTCATTCGTTACTGCAAAAAAGTAACTCGTTATTTGAACAAGTTATTTTTACAACTTACTTATAACAATGAATAAAGTAACACGTTATAAGTAACGAATTACTTTTTTCAGTAAATAACACGTAATGATGATAAATCACTTTTTAAAATGACTTTCCCAACCGTAACACAACGTTTAGTTAATTATCGTTACAGACATAAAAAAATTGCAACGTCATTATCAAATCGTCATTGTTATAAAAAGTAACATTGAGAGTAATGATATTACTATACTTTCATTTTTCATTTTTGATAAGTGAAGATAAATTACAGAGACTTCAGTTCAAATAATACATCAAAAATTTTTACATTTCTTATCTAAATTATTTATCTCATATATTTATATTTTTCTTTATCTCACATCCTAAATTAAACTTAAACCATAAATATTTGAGAAATACGATCCTGGTGGGACGCCCTTGCTTTGTAGACTCTACTATTAGATGATTTTTTTTTAAATCATAGATAAGGAGCGATACTTATAAAATATTATATAAAATAAAAGATGAAAAATTATACTCTTCCCTCGCAACGAATTTCTTACACGTAATATTAAGCGTTCTCGCGCTTTTGATAAACGTATTCCTTCACGTGAATCTAATTCGATCAATAGAATTCTTTTTTTTTTCAACCGATGGCTAAAAAGAAGAGCCACCTTCCAATCACGTGTCTTCTTCCAAAAATAGCAAGCAAGGTCATGCTAAGCGGGTTTCCTCTCGCCTATCATCAACTCTCACTATCGCCCGCCCTAAACTCTATATCGATCCATCGGACTGGATGTCATTAAATACAATACATCGGCCAAATGGAACGTAACATCTCATACATATGTATTGTTATGTAAAAGAAGCGGTTGGAAAATTATCGATTTTATTTAAGCCGTTCAGCAAAACGATCACGCATTTTTCTCGCTATAGGAAACAGAAATGTTCACAAAAACGAATATTAAAAAAAATTTCAGTATTTTTACAATATTTTATTTTACTATCTATATGATTCTATTCTAAAACTGACAATGAGATTTTACAATTTACATGTCAAACTTTATATCAGTTGAGAATAACTAAAATTATACAGGATGTCTTGAATTTAAATGACCAAACTTCGGAAACATGTAAGGAATAGATAAACTAACAATAAGAAAAAAAAAGACTTTTAGAGATATCGTTTTTACTTCGTTTTGGAGAAAATTGCAAAAAATGACAAAACGTAATTTTCGTTTTTGTACTTATTTATTACTTATTTAGTCACATTTATTTATTCGCGTTGTCACTTGCTTAGTGCAAATATTGTTACATATGTTGGCCTCTTGCAGTAATGCAAAATTGACAGTTTGTGTTGCAGTAAACACTGATCTGGTCAACGTAATGACTGATAAAACGAGCATATCTCTATAGGACTCTTTTTCTTAGTTTATCAATTCCATACACACTCCCAAAGTTTGGCAATTTAAATTCGGGATTGTATAAGTAAACCTTTACATTTTTGTAGTCTACGATAAAAAAAAGTACTTTTTGGAGAAAAAATATTTTTCTTTCATATGCTTATGAGGACATTAAAAGCGAAATAACAAAGTAATTCCAATGTGGCATAATATGCAAGTCAGGTAGCGATGTATTTTTATAATTTGTACAAAAGGTGATGGAGTAAGTCAGGCGACTCTAATACATTCAGAGCCTCTCAGTTGCTTCGAACTATTTATAGCAGGTCGCTCGATATGATGTACTAACTTTATTTTTAGCTGCTTACCTAGCTACAGCCCTTTCACCCCTTAGTATGACACCATATAACAGCCGGACACGCGAAAGCTGTCGGCACTTACCTGAAAATAAAAGTAAATCTCTTAAAATTATATGCTAAAAGATAATACAAACATATTTATATATCATCAAATCACATCGATTAACCGTTATTGGAATACATTTTTTGTTTTTACAAAAGTAAACGAATAATATCCATTTACAATAATGGCTAATTACACAGTTATAAAATTAGATATATAAAAATTTAAAACACTTTTTATGTATGAAAAATCGTTGATAAGAAGCAGTTTATATATACAAGCTAATTTTTTTATAAATGTCAAATCATTTTTTAACAGAAACAAAATATATTGAGTTGCATAAAAAGTTTTTAACATATTTTGCGTGGGTTGCACAAGATTATGTTTTATATTAATAGTCATTACTGAAATATCAATTCAATTTTTAGTTTTTATAAATTAACAAAGGTTATACGTATCTTCACAATATAATTATCACATTTTTATTGTTCAGAAAATCGAGATTATTCTT